CCCCTCCGGCCGCCCACCCGCGCGCTCCTCCCTGGCCCCGACCCCGGCCCCGGCCCCACCCTCCCGGCCTCTGCGCTTGGGCGCTGGGTCGAGTCTCTTCGGCTCCTCCCGGCGGACAGCTCCCTCAGTACCCTGCCCTCCCCCTCCGGCCCTTCTGTGGATTTCCCCCTCCTCTCCACTTAGGTCCCCCTTAAGCCTGAGGGAGACTTGAGCCGCCCCCGTTGTGCCATCTCTCCCCGAGGCCCCTAGAGCAGGCCTCTCTCTCAAACTCTTGTTGGTAGGTGGCCTGGATCAGACCCCCGCCCCCGCCCGTGTTCAGGCCCTCTCCCCTAGACCCTCCAAAGAGGCTCTCTGCTTCCCGAACCTCCGTGTGCCTGGCCTGGCGCTCCAAGGTACCCAAGGCTGGTGCAGATCCACCTGGCCTGGGCATGTCGGGCTGGGCTGCCTTGCTCAGGAGAAAGACCCTCGGCCAGTGTGGCCAGCCAGGGCTGGCTTCAAGTTCTCCCCACTCTGTGACCTTGAGCCAGCTCCTCCTCTCTGCCCCCCCCCATAGGCTCCCCCAACCCTGCAGGAGATGGGGGTGGGATTCCAACAGAACCAGCTGGGCACCTGGTATGGGAATATTAAGTAGGGGTTCCTAGGCAGGGATGCCAGACCCAGCAGGGCCCGCCCACCAGGGAGGACCCTCCTGCTTGCTGCCAGGGGCTGGGGCCATCAGTACCCGTAGCAGGGCCAAGGCTGAGTCTGGGGCAGTAGATCCCATCACCACCACTAAGTCCCCACACCAGTCTTGGCAGGGTCCTGCCACACACACAGGACACCACCCAGGAAAGGGCAGTGTCAGCACCCTGGCCTCCTCCTGGTGCTATTACTATGCATGTAAATCCACATACCCTGCAGTCAGTTAAGTGAGTTAGCACTACTGAAGCTCCCAGAAGTTTGCCTGGCACCTAACAACTGGGGTATGTGTTGACTGACAATGTTATCAATTTTTTTCCTGGCAAATTCAGTACTTTTGATAATTCAAAATGTGTCTTTGCAGCCAGCTAGCACAGCTTGGTGCTCCCCTTAGCCCTTGGAATGGTGACAGCAATTATGATCATCCATCTCTATAGGAGCTCACAGTTTGGCACCTCCCTAAGGGTTTTCTCTACCTTATCACCATCCAGCAGGGGCCACTATGACTGTTCACATTTCACAGATGAGAAAACAGAGGCTCAGGGACATGGATTTGTACTGGCAACCCCTGCACCCTTCCCAGACACCCCCCTGCCAAGGGAGGGTCCTTGTCCAGAATGCACAGGGATGTGGATGCCAAGGCAGGTGAACCTAGGTATCCCCTCTCTCCCACTGTAAACTCCCATGACCTTTGGACATGGCTGGAAAGAAAGAAGGGGAGGGGGGTTTTGTCAGTTTTATATAAACAAGGACATGGATTCTAGAGTCAGGCCTCCTGTCCCGTCACCCCCACCCAAGGTTCTTTTCCCCTCTGCCATCATCTCAGGAATCACTGTGCTGTGTGACCTAGTCAGGCCTCTGCACCTTCCTGAGCACAGGACATGGGTGAGATAAGAGAGGACATCCCTCCCAGGAAGTTCTTTTCCCAAGGACACATCAGAGCTGAGCAAGCATGCCAGTCCACGGTTTGGGTGCAGAGTTTAGGGAACAGGAATTTTTTGAATTCAGCTTTTGTTTTTTCTCATCTCCAACCTGGGCTGCAAGTTCTGTTCTTCCTAGGGCCACTTTTGGAAATGAGCATCGCGTTTGCAAATTGTGGTTCTCTGACCCCCAGCATCAGAATCACATTTAGTCGAGGTGGGCAGCTTTAAAATACACATTCCCAGGGCTATGCACTTCCCACCATCTGATTCATCACTTCTGGGATTGAGGCCACAAAATCTGCATTTTAAATGCTTCACTGCATTGCTCCCACAAGGTTTAGGCAGCACTGGTCTGGGGGAAGGGCAAGGAGCCTGTGCTTGTTGGAGGTTGACACCGGTTCACTCACCAAACCAAGGCTCAGGGTGGCAAGATGGCTTGCCAGGGTCCTAGAGGCAAGCAGATGTGTGGCTGAGAAGAGAGAAGGGAGCCTAGAGCAGCCTAGAAAGGAGCACACGCACCTAGGGTAGGAGTCAGGGAGTCAGGTACACATGTCAGCATCTCCCATACCTCTTCTAGCTCAAAGTCCCCTAGGCAAGTCAGGCCCTAGATTTTGTTAGGGGGAAGCAGAAGGGGCTGGCCACGAGCCCAAACAGGGTAGCACTGCAAAGTCAGCCTTCCCAGAACTTAGGAGAAGCACCACCTCCTCCTGAAAAGGCGCCCCTCCCACTCTATCTCATGAGGTCCCTGAGTTGTCCCCTTCCCTGTGCTGGGTGACCTTTTGTGTCTGACACTCCTCTCTGCACAGGGTCGGTCTGGGGTTCTAGCAACTGGCACCAGCCCTCCCGGCCCATCCCCCACCTGCCCCGGGGAAGATGCCCGAGCAAAGCAATGACTACCGCGTGGTGGTGTTCGGGGCGGGCGGCGTGGGCAAGAGCTCGTTGGTGCTGCGCTTCGTGAAGGGCACGTTCCGTGACACCTACATCCCCACCATCGAGGACACCTACCGGCAAGTGATCAGCTGCGACAAGAGTGTGTGCACACTGCAGATCACAGACACGACAGGCAGCCACCAGTTCCCAGCCATGCAGCGGCTATCCATTTCTAAGGGCCATGCCTTCATCCTGGTGTTCTCTGTCACCAGCAAGCAGTCACTTGAGGAACTGGGGCCCATATATCAGCTCATTCTGCAGATCAAGGGCAGCGTGGAGGACATCCCCGTGATGCTGGTGGGCAACAAGTGTGACGAGACACAGCGGGAGGTGGACACACGTGAGGCCCAGGCCGTGGCCCAGCAGTGGAAGTGCGCCTTCATGGAGACCTCAGCCAAGATGAACTACAACGTCAAGGAGCTCTTCCAGGAGCTGCTCACACTGGAGACGCGCCGCAACATGAGCCTCAACATCGATGGCAAACGCTCCAGCAAGCAGAAGAGGACAGACCGCATCAAGGGCAAATGCACCCTCATGTGAGACCAGAATGCCACCTGCCATCCCCAGTCCCTGATGCCTCCCCACACCCTTCTCCATCTCATCATCCTCTTCCTCCCTCCTCCAGCATCCTGGCTGGCCAGCCTGCGGCAGAGCTAGGACTCTTTCCCCCTACTCCCTGCCCTCCCATTCCATCTATACCCTAAAACCAAGAGCTGGAGACAGCTACCCGCCCCCCTTTGTGTGCATGGGAAAACGGGGAGCCAGCAAGAGGGGCTGCTTGTCCCCACCAGGTCAGGAGGAGGCGGCGTTTCTTCCATCTCTGCCCGAGGACCCCATCTCCTCTTTCCCTTGGGTGTCCCCAGCCAGACCTGTACCCCATCTTCCATATTTGATCACTGTGACCTTCTGGGGGAGGGGGGAGTTGAGATACACATTGACCTCAGATTTTCTTTTCTTTCTTCCCATTTGGTGTTTAACATACACCCTCCCCTGTCTATCATGACCTCCGACCTGTGCCTCCTCCTTGGATCCCCCAAACAACCCTCTTGCCCCTGTCCCTTCACTGGGGTGGGGATGGGGCCCACGGGATTGGCCTCAGGCCACCAGGCAATAACCACAGGCCCTGCAGCAGCACCCCTGCCAGCCAGGTGAGATAGGGGTGGAGACCAAGGGAAGTCCAGAATCTGCCGACAGCCACAGCACAACTCCAGCGACTGTCCGGCAAGGATGGCCCCTCTGGAGAGGCACAGGTGCACCTGGTGCAGTGAGCACAGAGGGGCTTCCTGGACACCCCCCACTTGAGGACCCGCCCCTTCCATTGAGACAGAGACGTTGGCAACGCCCGGGTTGGGTGTCTGGAGTGCTGGGAGGGGATGCTTGGGGCTTTGGTGAGAGACACAAACTATACCCCCTCTGGGGCAGGCTCTGGGACCAGTACCAGCAGTGTCTGGGGAGTCATCCAGGCAGAATTCTGTTCAGCCACTTCCTCCCACCAGCTATGCCCAAGAAGGTGGTGCCCTGAAGATGGGGGACACCTGCAGCTGTGAGATTCTGGGTAACTCCACACTCACACAACCCCATGGGGGGTGCTGTGTCGACAGACATGGAGGTGACTGTGGAACTGTGCATGCGTGTGGCTTGGGGTGCATGGATGAATGGCTTGTATCTAAGGCGTGTCTGCCTTTGTGAGCATGTGCCATAGTATACTTTTCTTCAACAGTCTGTGCTTGTAGTAATGGTGCAGGGTGTACGTAGAAGTGGGTAGCTGCAGGTCCACGCATGTGGTTGTCAATAGGATTAGATTTCTGTGACATGTCCATGTAAATCTTTGTACCTGTTTGAGTGTGACTGTGTTTTCAGGAGTGGGTGGGTGTTTTATCTGAGAACATTTATCTGTGAACCTGACACTATCTGACACTATCTCTGACTCTTAGTAAGGTGACTCTTGGCCCTAAATCTATATCTGCCAGCCATTGCCATCATAACAAATTGCCACAAATGTAGCAACTTCAAACCGCACACATTTGTTATCTCACAATTTCTGTGGTCAGGTTAATGGGTTCTCTCCTTGGAATCTTAGGAGGCTGCAGTCAAAGCATTGGCCAGATGGGGGTCTTATGAGAAGGCCAAAAGGGGGAAGGAGATTCTTCTAGGACTCATGGGGTTGTTGCAGCATTCAGGTCCTTGTGGTGTCAGACTGTCCAGTCTTTCATCCTTACCATGGCTTTTGACTGAAAGCTGCCGCATGGACCTCTTCATAGAATGACTTGGAATAGAGCTTCAGGGGAGAGAGAGTAACCCTGTATCCCAGATGGATGTTGTGTTCTTACTGGGTATGGGGGAGTGGCGTGTGCATGCCTGTGTGTGTGCTTGTGAGAGAGGTTGAACTCGTGTGTCTCTGTGGTTACATGACCAGGTATAACTTTGTAGGTAAGAGGGATTTTTTTGTGTCTGACGTGATATCAGCATGTTTATCTTCCTCTTTATTCGCGTGACCGTTCACTCAACAAGTGTTTACTGGTCACATTCTGAGAGACAGAGAGAGATGATGTGTGTATGTGTGTGTTGCTACCCAGCACGTGAACAGGGCCCCCCAGAAGAGCTGGCACATTGTGTCTGATCATACCTGAATCACCTGAACCTGCCCTGGGAGTGGCTTCTGGGCTTTGAAAGTGCTGAGAGGGTGAGGCTGGGCAGGGGGTCTGCAGCCCTTTCTCAGGGACATACCCTGATAGCACAATCTCCCTGGGGCCCCACCAACCTCCATACCTCTCCCACCCCAGGCCCTGCCCTGACCTTGGGGAGAGAGAAGGGTTCTCTCTGGATGCTGGCCCACCCTGCCTGGGCATCCCCGGTGCTGGGGACCATGCCAGGCCCCGCTTGCTGTGACCCTGGCCCTCTTCCCCCCGCATGTGGGTGCCCCCACCCCCCATTGTGGGGGTCTGTGTTGCATTCCCTCTAGACATAGTCTTCCTGCAATAAAGTGGATCCTGCAATCTCCTCCAGCACAGTGCCCCTTCTTTGGGGGTGGGGAGGTCTGCTCGCCGCCTATAAAAGATGAAGGGCAGGAGGAGTGGGGAGGGAGAGGCAGGGAGGGACTGGATGAGGAGACTGAGCTGGGGAGGTTGAGGCAGGAGAGATCCAGGCTGCAGGGCTTCAAACTGCTTCCTACTTCACTACAGGCTGGCCCTGTGGATGTTCCCCCCCCCCAGCCTCAGTTTCCTCTTTCTGTACCCATCCATCCACTACCCAGACATCAACCCACCTACCCAGGCCAGACAGGAAGAGGGGTCTCAGCAGAAAAGGTAAGGCCTTATTCAGGGACAGACTGGGAGGAAGAACTGAGGCACCATTCATTCATTTGTTCATGAGTTCATTTGTTTCTTCACTCATTCATTTATCCAGTATGTAGCTGTGTACCTAGCTCTGTTCTGGGTACTAGGGACACAGTGGTGACTGGTACAAACCCAGAGTCGCTGCCTGCTGGGGGAGATGTTGCCCCCAAGAAGAATTGGACCAGATCGCTTCAGATGTGCACTGCTATGTGGGACAAGATAAGCCTGTGTCAAAGAAGGGGTTTGGGAGTGGGGCTTGGATGTCCAGGGAGGCCACTCTGGCTTAGGAGATGACACTTGAACTGACCTGGGAAGGCCCTGGGAGGATCTAGGATGAGCATGGAGAGGGAGATAGCATGACATGTGCAAAGGCCTTGGGGCAGGCATAGAGGGAAGAAGGGGTGGTAGCCAGCATCAGACAGCGCCCGGTGGGCTGTGGGAAGAGTTTGAACTCATAAGGACACTAGGTTGCATTATGGGAACATTTGAGCCCTTCTCTTTGTGGTCCCCACGAGAGACCTGGAGGGCTCTGTAGCATGCACACTGGCTACAGCTGGTTGAGGGGATTAGGCAAACACTTTCATTTTACACAGAGGAACCTATGGGGCCTCAGGTTCTTCATCCATATAATGGAAACATGTGGTTGGAGTTCAGCTTGCAAGGATCCCAAGAGGCAAGGTAGGGCAATGGTTATGGCCTGTCCTTCATGGCAGATGAAAAGGCCCAGAAACCCCATTTACCCTGGGGAAGCCACATGTGGGGGTCAGAGATGCCAGGTGTGGCACCTGGCTAAGACCACCCCTTTATTTAGCCAGATGAGGATGGCATTTGAAACACCTTTTTTTTTTTTT